TATTATTATAATTATAATTATTATTATTAATATTTTTATAATTTATAATTGATTACAATTTATTCAACTTATTATTATTATAATTTATAATTGTTATTATAATTATTATAATTATTTCTAATTTATAATTATTATAATTATTATCATAATTATTTATAATTATTATTATAATGTATTATAATTATTTATTAAAATGTATTAACTCTTCTTTAAAATTATAACATGTGATTTATTTGTATATTATTGACAAATATGATTAATTTTTTTATTTTTATTTATTTCATAATAAATTTATTATAAAATATATTTTCATTGCACAGTATGTTAAATAAAGTATAAAACCTTAGGATGCAAAGTATAAAAATCTCTTGATTATAGAACTATAGAAGGGATTTATTTTTCGCAATGACAAAATCATAGTAATTTTTAATCTAAAACGAGTAAGGGGTGTTTGTTTATAAATTTTTTAAATCCATACTCACAATTTAACTAAATTTTAACACAACCTCACTATCTTCAATATTAGAAATATAATTAAATAATATCAATCAACCTTCTTTACAGATCAAATCAACTTTAATACATTTTTCATTCACTCACATAATTTTAACTAACTATTACTTCAAATAATATTTTTCTTACTATTACATTAAATTAATTTTAATTATTTTATTTTAATTAATAATTTAATAAAAACTCAAAACCTCACTAACAACTAGTCATATCACTTTTTTCAAAATTAACATTGGTTAACTAAAAAATCGTTCATTTATAACTATATTACTCTCTCCTGTTCATAATAAATGTCGTTTTGAAAAGTTGCACAATAATTAATAATCTTTATTTTGCCAATAATAACCCTCACTAATGAAAATAGAGATTGATGTTTTGAGAAAATATGAAAAATGAAAAGACGTAATATATTTATTAACTAGATGAGAGTAATAATGAGAAAACATGTAAAAAAAAATCCAAAACGTCATTTATTTAGTTAATGGTCGATAAAATCAAAATGACATTTAAAAAAAGAAAGGAGATAGTATATTTTAACCAATTTTCTATGGTTCGTACAATAAATGTTCTGTAATGTTTGTGACACATAAATTTAAAAGAAAGGCAATTGGCTTTTCATAAATCTCGAAAATTCAGTATGTGAACCCAAACGATCAGTGGAGTGTGCCCACGTGAGACATGGCCATTTTCTTCCCCGTGAAGGAAAAATGGTTGGGCTGAATTATAACCTCCTTTTTTTCTTTTAATATAATACTAGTACAACATCCGTGTATTACACGGGTGCTTATTAAAAAATTATTCTTAAATTTTAAAATTAATGAAAAAAATAATTTTAAATTTTATTTACTTTTTTACAAAAAAAAATATATATTATATTATATTTTAGAATGACACTTGTTATTTGTGCGACTTACATGTGTTATATTATAGTAATTTTTATAACTTATATCATATAACTACTTGAAATATAAATATATTAATTGATAAATAATAATTTTATTATTGTTATAAAAATAAATATAATTTATTTTTTTATGCATATAATATGGATGTTAAATCGAAGCTCGTCAAGAGATGATTAATTTAATATGTTATATATGTAAAACTGATAAAAAATATAAAAGTTATTAACTTTTAAAATATATTTACAATTCAATGGTTATAATAAGAAATGATGTTAAAATACAATTAATACATGTAACATGATTATAAATAATCAACATATTTATGGATAGCCCAAACCTAATTATTTTTGGATTGGAAGTAAATTAAAATCTACTCAAGCCTAATAACGAAGCATGTAATTTTGCCACATAGGATACCGAAGCATGCGAGCCTGCCACTTAGGCTCAGCACGTACTGAATTAATATATAGGGGGATTACACATTTTGTAAAGAATTGAGCGCATGCAGAAAAAAATCTTAAGCGGGATGTTTAATTTTTCTCATTTACTATTCACCGTCCCCCCTTTACTACTCACCGCCCCCTCCTTTTTACTCTTTATTTATAATAAGGATTATAAATAATTATAATAATAATTATAAATAAATATGATAATAATTATAATAATTATAATAACAATTATAAATTATAATAATAATAAGTTGAATAAATTGTAATCAATTATAAATTATAAAAATATTAATAATAATAATAATTGTAATTATAATAAAAATAATAAATAAAATTAATAATAATTATAATAATTTTAATTAATTATAATAATAAAAATAATGATAATATTTGTTATAATAATTATAATAATAATTTGTTATAATAATTATAATAACAATTATAATTATAATAATAATAATTATTAAAATAAAAATGAATTATAATATATTTTAATAGTTATTACAATAGTTATTACATATGGAAAAATTTAATAATTATATTTCTGATAATATCTAACGTCCAATTAATAGCATAATGAAGTCTAACGTGTAACATAATCATTTCTAACTCCTAACACGATAATATCTAACGTCCAATTTATAACATAATTATTTCGAACATATAACATAATAATTAAAAAAAATGACCAGCCGGCCGGTTCGGACATAACTCGTCCGACCGGACGAACTTTCCGGACGGCTTTTATGCCGTCTGAACCGGCCGGCCGGACGCCTTTTGAACCGTCCAGTTTCGGCGGTCGGACGGGCTAAAAGCTGTCCGGTTTCGATGGCCGGACAAATTTTTTTTTTCTTTTTACTTTTTGAAAAAAAATGTCAGGGACAAAATTGTCCAAGGGGGGCGGTGAATAGTACTACCCTAAGAGCACCCACAATGTTTTGGGTCTCTTAACAAAAAATCACATGCCACATAGGAAATAGACTTAGGCTATAAAAAAATACTTCCCAATGCAATTAAAAGTGGACATGGTCTAGCTTATGTGGCAATGAAAAAAGAGACCAAGTCCACACTTGGGTCTATTTTGGACCTAAATACAAACTCAAACACTCATCATTTGTACTTAATTTAGTTTTTTTTTTAATGAATAAAACATATTAGAGCATTTCTATTGGTTGACATGTATGCTAGACCTAGTCTTTTTATTTTTGCATTGCAAAGTTTTTGAGTTTTTTACTTGGATTTGTTCATGTTATTTAAAACTCAAATCCAATTATATGCCACATATACAAAAAGGGACCCAAAATATTGTGGATTGTCTAAAAATTTTTGTGGGTAGACCCATCTTTGGAAAAGTATAAACCAGCTGTCAATTCATTTTCACCACAATTCTGTGGGAAATTTTATTTTCGGCCGACCACAGTAATATTCTTACCACATTTTCAAACGCATAGATCTTAACAAATATAAATCCTTATTAATAATTAAAGGAAAAGGAAAAGATAACATGACATCAAGAAAAAAGTTGAAAGTACAAGTGGTGATAAATGGTATTAGGCATATGCCGTTAGTATGGCTTGTTTACCAAGCCACCTATCTGACTTTTGAGACTCCACAACCACCATTCCATATTTCCATTTCTTCTAGACGACACTTAATGCATTCAAATTTAAATAGCAATAAAATAATAATAATAATAATAATAATGATAATTGTAATTAAAATAAGATTTCTTTTAAATTTTCTTCTTTAATTAATTATTACTTTGTTAAAATTACCCAATAATAATAATTGTAATTACAAATTACAATAACATTTTCTTCTTTTAGATTTTGACATTTGAAGCTTAAACTTGCAATTTTCAATATTCTACCCTAATTTACTGAACTAATTGTGCGCAAAACCCGTGTAGAAAGTGTTGTACATTTTTGACATACTTTTAATTAGTGGAGGGGCGTGCCCTAAACTAATAAATCTCTCCCTAGAAGAAGGCCTTTTTCAAACCGTTGTTATTTTCCGTATAAAATATAGAGTACTTCTCTTTTCTGTGAGTACCTGAGAGAGAGAGATGGTTCAGATGGAGAAGACGGTGATGAACAACAATGGCGGCAACCCTCTTGTTCCCGACGGTGTCAAGCGCCCCAAGACCAAGATTGTGTGCACGCTCGGCCCGGCTTCTCGCTCCATTCCCATGGTCGAAAAGCTTCTCCGGGCCGGCATGAACGTGGCCCGATTCAATTTCTCACACGGATCCCATGAGTACCACCAGGAAACGCTCGAAAATCTCCGCAAGGCCATGGACAACACCGGCATACTCTGCGCCGTCATGCTAGACACGAAGGTACTCCCTTTTTCCTTTCTCGTTGCCTATTCTTCTCGGCGATTTTTGGATCTTATTGTCTTCTGTTGTTTCGATCTGTGAATCTGTTGGATCGAAGTTTACATGGTGATTTGGGATTATGCTTTTTCCTTAATCGATTTCTTGAATGAAATAATGTTTTTGGAACATAGATAAACGACATATTTTCGTATGAACAGTTCTTATTGATGTATTCATTTGTTTTGTTGTGAAAATTGGAACAGTTGGATTTGATTTTATGAACGTACATGATTCTGCTTCGTTCATGCTTTACTCCTCCCTTGTTATTGTTATTGTTATTCTGATGTCAACAACAACAACACAGCATAACCCTTTCTTCTTGTCTTGGTAGTCTTTAAGTTAATAGGGATCCTCAATTTTATACAGTATTTCATCTGGCAAAGTTCGTTAACAATGTCAATATGTAGAATTGTAGATAATATATGAAATAGGGATGATTTACAAGTTTGGAATAGTTTCTTTAACATAATAGTTCAGTACAATAGTTATTTGTAAACACTGCTGAGAAATTCATTTATGATCAGGGTCCAGAAATCCGAACTGGGTTCTTGAAAGACGGCAAGCCTGTCCAACTGAAACAGGGCCAAGAGATCACAATATCCACCGACTACGACATCAAGGGCGATGAGAACATGATCTGCATGAGCTACAAAAAGCTGGCTGAGGACGTAAAGCCTGGAAGTGTGATACTCTGTGCTGATGGGACTATCACGTTCACTGTTTTATCTTGTGACAAGGAGAAAGGCTTGGTAAGGTGCCGTTGTGAGAACACTGCAGTTATTGGGGAGCGAAAGAATGTCAATCTTCCTGGAGTTGTTGTCGACCTCCCAACTCTGACGGATAAAGACAAGGAAGACATTTTGAAGTGGGGGGTCCCTAACAAAATCGACATGATTGCTCTTTCTTTTGTTCGCAAAGGCTCCGACTTGGTCGAGGTGCGCAAGTTGCTGGGTCCACATGCTAAAAGCATCCTTCTCATGTCTAAGGTCAGTGGCTGTTCTCATCAATCTTTACGAAGCTGGCCACTTCTCATATTTACCTCAAAATTTATTCTGGTTTATGTATACAAATGTGCATTTGAGAAATTTGTGATTTTATCAATTTTCACTTTTTTTCAAGTCATTACCTATATGTAACAGTTAAAGAGTGAAATTGCATTCAGGTTCATTGAAGGAACACAAAACTAAAATAAAATTCAGTTGAAATGTTTACAAACCTATTGGAAACAATTCTTTTGGGCAAAAATCACGCGCAAACATTTCTTCAAAGCTTTTTCTAACATTGGCTTCGCGAATAATTACAAGGATTAACCTCTTGAAACCTTATATCAACAATCATCTTGCACCTCACATTCACTTTCTCTTCCCCTTCCAGGTTGAGAACCAAGAAGGCGTGGCAAACTTCGACGAAATCCTGGCGAACTCCGACGCCTTCATGGTGGCCCGTGGAGACCTGGGCATGGAAATCCCAATCGAGAAAATCTTCCTAGCCCAGAAGGTAATGGTCTACAAATGCAACATCCAAGGCAAGCCAGTCGTAACCGCCACCCAAATGCTCGAGTCCATGATAAAATCCCCACGGCCAACTCGTGCAGAGGCCACCGACGTTGCAAACGCCGTCCTCGATGGCACCGACTGCGTCATGCTCAGTGGCGAGACAGCTGCCGGAGCCTACCCTGAGCTGGCAGTCCGCACCATGGCCAAGATCTGCATGGAGGCCGAGAGCACCCTCGACTATGGAGATGTTTTCAAGAGAATCATGGCCAATGCGCCTGTCCCCATGAGCCCGCTCGAGAGCCTGGCTTCGTCTGCAGTGCGCACGGCAAACTCTGCGCGTGCGGCTCTTATCCTTGTTTTGACGAGGGGTGGGAGCACGGCTAAGCTTGTGGCTAAGTACAGGCCTGGGATGCCGATATTGTCGGCTGTGGTCCCGGAGATAAAGTCGGACTCGTTCGACTGGTCGTGTTCTGACGAGTCGCCAGCTAGGCATAGTTTGATATTCAGGGGTTTGGTACCGATTCTGTGCGCGGGTTCTGCTAGGGCTTCGCACGAGGAGTCTACAGAGGAGGCTCTTGAGTTTGCGCTTGAGCATGCGAAGGCTAAGAGGCTGTGCAAGGTTGGGGATGCTGTTGTGGCGCTGCATAGGATTGGGACTGCTTCCATTATCAAGATTGTGAATGTCAAGTGATCTATCGAGGGGTGGTGGTTTTGGTTTTGGTTTTGGTTTTTGGATGGGAGATTATTTCTTGTTTTGAATTTTTGCCCCTTTTTGGGGTGGAGCAAATGGTATGGACTTTTTTATAATACTGGTTTTACTTGTTTTGTTTTTGGGGTTTTGACTTTTTTGCGTTTATCCGCCCGAATGCGTTTGTCCAGGAACACGTTCGGGAGGATGTATGCGTGTGGTTGCTATTATGGGGATTATAGTAAGTTTGTTTATCTATGCAGTGTTTAGGACCTTGTTTTGCCCCCTGAAATTTGGTTCTTGTTGGTTCAATTTTTATGATATATACTTATTTTAGGTAAATGTGCATTATGTTGCTGTTATTTGGACTTGCTGGTTATTAAGAAGATGCCATGTGTATATTATTGTTGGATCATGAGCATGTAGAAACAGGGAGAACCCTGCAATTCATTTGTTCCCAAGTACTCTGTAAGGTAACAGTGTAAGGTAACAGTGAATCAGTGATTTTCCCTACAATTCACTTGTTCCCAAATACACTTTTAACTTAACAGAAGAGGAAGAAGAGGAAGAAGAGGAGGAAGAAAAAGAAGTTTCTCCAACTACCAAAAAGTTCCTGTACAAAATAAACGTTGACATATAACTGCACATGAATACACATCCCCAGCATTACATTTTCAGAATAGACTATAAGCACTACACACACCAACTGAAAGCAACTATTGACGTCTAACAAACTATAACTAAAGCACCACAACTCCCAAAACTCAATCACGCAAAGTGCTTGCACACATGGAATTCCCACCAGATGACGAAAACAAGCCACTGAAAGGCCACGTCAGCGGAACTAAAAACTGCCTCCCGTTTTCACTCCTCTCATCTCATTCCCACTTTACCCGACAATCTCATCATTACTATTACCACTATTCCCCGAATCAATCTTGGACGGCAGCCTGTACCTGGCATATGTTGCACAATTTACGGTGTCAATTGGGTTCACGGTTTGAGAGCATATGTTGCACCAATAGTGGGACGCATCTGCTTCATCCATCATTTTCTGTCTCATATAATAATCCCTTCAAACACTGAATACCAACTATTGTAGCGGGTTTCAAGATTGGGGAATTGGGTCCAACTTTGTATGACCATAATCAAGGCAAATATTTTGATTCACATTTTTGGGAAACCAACCAGGCCATTTTTTCATTCATTCTAACTACATAATGTAAGTAATAAATTTTGGGGGCCATCAATGAAAGAAGGAATCAACACACAACAATGAACCGAATTTACTTGGGCTATTTGGTAAACCTAGCTGATAAGCTAGTTTATAACTTTTAAGTGAATTTCGAGCTTATAGCTGATAACTTGTGACTTGTGGCGGAAAAACTATCAGTGGGCTTAATTTGAAAAGCTACTAAAAGAAACTTATGAGATAGACTCAAGCTTTTTAGAAAGCTCGCCGTACCAAACGAAACTCATTTGAATACATGAAACTTATAAGCTAATCAAATAAGTTATAAGCTAGCTTATATGCTTATCAAACACAGTCAATGAAATTTTTCATTGAAACTATATTTAATTTGACTTTTAAAAAAAGTATGGTAAACTAGTTTTCATGCAATCGCACAAGTTATGTACTAGTTTTAGAATGAGATAATTAGTTGAGCATAATACAATAAGCAAAATTAAATAAATGTGCTTATTTTTTTTTCAGTAACAAGAGAAATATAGGTACTAAAATAATAATAATAATAATAATAATAATAATAATAATAATAATAAAAGACTGTAAAAAAAGGCTTGAGTACAATAATTCGTACTAAAATAGTCCAACTTTAAACATGCCAGAAATAAAAGCCTAGCCGAATTAATTTTTTTTAAGTTATAAAGAGGACATGATCCATTTAGGGGGCAATTTGAATTGAGGCTTTATTTATTTATTTTACTCAAAGTCACTCAATTAATCATTTAGAGCATCACCAATAGTTTTTCCATTGCGCTATTTTATTGTCACATAATACAAATTATTCTATGTGGCATGAAAAATGTTGAAAAATCTTTATAGAAGTAAAAGTCATTCTAAACAACTTCTATTATATATTATATTATTATTCAATTTATATCTCTTCTCCAACCAATTACATTTTTACACATCACAAATGATATTACAATTAACATTAACCACTTAAGACACAATTGTTTAATTTTCTTTCATCATGTCATACAATACAAAATGAACAATGTTCCATTGGAGATATTCTTACACTTCTTTAACTCAGAATCTAACTCAAATTTCACCCAACTCAACTTTCCACAATATTATCAATATAATTAAATAATACAAATCAATCATCTTCACACATCACATCAACTTTAATTCACTGTTCATTCACTCACATCACTTCAAATCACTCTGTCTCTTCCAGTCATCTTCCAATCACACATCTTAAAACTTTTAGATCAAATCAATTTTTATCATTATACTTTAAAATATTATTTTCATACAAACTCAAAATCCCACTTAATCAAACTTTCACCATTGTCACCATTGTCGCCACTAAACGAGTGAGCAACGAGAACCCAACAATAAGGATCATATGTTAAAGTCTTGCTATGCTTTCAACTTTACAAAAAGATGATTCTTCTCTCCATATTTTACTGGAAAAAGGAATCGTGTACGGAATATCTGTACAAATTCTTGCTACCTATATATTCATTCACTTGAGATAACATAATTAGTCCACCGAATAAAAAATTATGAGGAATGGGAACCCACACCAAAAAAAATCCATCATCACCATTTCAAATTGCCTGGAGCTTTCTCATAGCATTCTCATCCTGGAAATATAATGATAAAGGCTCAATGACAAAGCAATTGCTTTCTTTTTCATCAACAAAAGAAATAGAGATGTTAAAAGAAATGAAAAATGAACCACATTTTATTAAGGCAAATTAAAATTGAGCAATGTTTACATAATGGTTTAAACATTCACATAGGGTTGAATTCAATAAAATAAACAATTCAAGTCAAGTGGACCCTACTCATGTCATAGTGTATATGGTCTGTACTAGTAGAATTATCCATGTAAAAGTATCTCATGACAGGTTGGTTATGAACATCAAACTCTTCGACCTCTATTCCCCTTCATGTTTTGCATTTGTAAAATTCAAATATCGTGTAGGAAAATATTCCAGATTTCAGACTCCATTATATACATAGTAACTATCTAATTATATATACTCCAACTTGATAAAGGGGAGAAACTTACATCTTTAACAGGAAGAGATCCGCCCATTGGTGAAATTTCAGCAGTAGGGACTGATTCTATTACTGAAAATAGATGATTTGGACTAACCTGCCATCAGATAAAGCATTAGAAAACTATAAGACTCTCATGCAGCCAATGAAATGACAAGGAATACGAGATGCAAGGAGAGCAAATAAGGATGGGAGGAACATACTTTGCATAGAAAAAAGACTTTTGGGCTTGAAATAAATAAAACAAGCAGAAGCCTGATCCTACAGATTGATCTTTAACATAATTTGGTGGCCGTCTATTGCATATTCAAGCGGTCATGGGAACTACAAGGGTAAAACACAACCTTCATGGGATGATTTTGTTTGAAACTAAAAAATAAAAAGCAAAAAGAAACGCAAGACTGACCAACGAAAGAGTTGTAATTAATTATATGAATGTAAATTATAATGATAAAATTTTCATTTCTAGTCTACAGAGGCAGTTCAAAACAAACTTGTACAAAATCAAAAGAGTTGTAATTAATTATATGAATGTAAATTATAATGACAAAATTTTCATTTCTAGTCTACGGAGGCAGGTCAAAACAAACTTGTACAAAATCATATTCCTCCAAATTGTTTGCTTTGGTGATATTTTTCTTGAGAAGGATAGCTGTTGGAACTTGGAACTACCATAGTATTGTTATTGATCAGATGAGGAATTATAATCTCATTTTTCTCATATATATATATATATATATGTATGTATACATATATGTTTGTTTTTCACATGTGACATCTTTCAAATAAACAGCAATGTAATAGCCACCTAACCCAGGTACTCTGAAGCTGAAACTCATTTATAGTTAAAGCTTCACCGTCTGTTTTGAATCAGTGTGGACCAACTCAAACTGGAACAACCCTCCTAAAATTTCTCCCTTTATGCCAGAAATGGCATTCTAAATAAATTGTAAAACGATCCAAATACGACCAGGAATCTACATCTATATGATAGCACAATTCATTAGCTGCTTTTGACAGCAATTTTCCCACTCAAACTTTGGTAATATTGGAACTGATATTGGGACTATGTATAGGAAAAATATTAATTCAACATTATTTCAAGTTTATATTTGTTATTACATTGATTTGTATCAAATACGGAAATATGTTTAATGTAATTAAAATATAATCAATGTTGTCACTGAACGAATTTCGTGTTTCCAGTGATTGCAATAGCTACCAAGATAAAGAAAAAAAATGCAACAAGTTTCTCACATATCTGCATAGAACAATTAAAAAATATATGTTGCCATATCTAAATTATTAAATGTTTGTAGCAATATTTAGCTTTGTCAGACATGATGTTCAAAGATAATATTTTTCATATTTAAGAAATGATTGTAGTAAGGAGATTATTCTTTGATGATAAAGGACAATAATGACAATTAAATATACCATCATATGCTGATATTANNNAAAAAAAAAAAAATTGATTTAATCGATCAATTCTAATAATCTATACTACTCTAAAAGGACGAGTGTTTTTGTAAAAATATGAACTACCTAAAATAACCTTATTTTGACCTATTTTTAATGACAAATTAGTAATACACTAATACATATCTTATTTTATATTTTAAATTAAAAAATGAATTACCTACAAAACTCTTATTTTAACATATTTTTAATGCCAAATTAGTAATACACTAATACCCATCATATCTTATATTTTTAATTAATAACTAATACTTAATTAATTAAATACAAATATATGAACAATACATTTCACATCTCCTAAAAATCAAAGACAGTATTCATTCGCGCACCATTATTTCTCACAAAATGGCTTTCTTTCACATATCTCCCAAATATCAACCCACTATCAACTTAAACAACAAAGTTTTGTAAAGATATAGAATTGCTGTTTTAAAAAAAAATCTCTGTTTTTAATATAATTTTATACATTCTCTGACAAACTAGAAAAGTTGAACAATTCATTTAGCTACTTCATTATTTAAGAAAAGTAAACTCTTATATTTAGAATTAGAATAGAAATTGCACTTTAGTCTTACAGGATTGAATTTTGATCCCATAAAAATCGTCATTTGTTTGTTTGTTTGTTTTTCTCTATTTTAGTCACAAAGTGAATAAAATTAACGAATTTTCACTTGACCATTGAATGGTTAATATCAAGAATTAAGTAAAATATATCATGAGATTTTAATTATTATTATTTTATTTGGACCATTTATTTTCAAGTTGTGTGCTAAAAAAGAACAATATGAAAGTAAAAAAATATTAAATCTGATGAATAACATCAAAAATATAATTAAGTTGTAAGACTTACTAATAAATATAAAAATAAATTATAAATAAAAATTTTATAATTAATAAAAGTAAATATAAAACTTTTAAAACTTATACTTATCGATGTAAATGAATCGAATTGTTTATTTCTTTTTACTTTTTTGTGCTTATTAATTTTATGTGTAATTTTTAGGTGATAAATAATAGTTATTTGAACTTTTATCCATGTAGGTTGAAAATTTTAATATTTAAATTTTAAATAACTTTTTATTTTCTATTAGTTTTTTTAATATAATATAAATATCCTATTACAATATAAAATAATAATTATTTTCACTTGATCATTAGATGGTTAATATCAGGGTGAGTAATATTTTAATTATTAACACTTGAAATATATGAATTTTACATTCAATAATTAAGTAAAATATATCATCAGATTTTAATTATTATTATTTTATTTGAGCCACAGATTTTCAAGATATGTGCTCAATAAAAGAACAATATGAAAGTAAAAAAATAGTAAATATGATGAATAACATTAAAAATATAATTAAGTTGTAAAACTTACTAATAAATATGAAAACAAATAATAAATAAAAATTTTATAATTAATAAAAGTAAATACAAAACTTTTAAAACTTATACTTGTCGATGTAAATAAATTTAATTGTTTATTTCTTTTTAATTTTTTATGCTTATTAGTTCTATGTGTGACTTTTAGGTGATATATAATAGTTATTTGTACTTTTATCCATGTAAATTGAAAATTTTAATATTTAAAAAAATAATTATTTTAATTTTAAATATTTTTTTATTTGCTATTAGTTTTTTTAATATAATATATATATATATCATATTACAATATAAAATAATAATTATTTTTGTTATTTAATATTTAATAGATAATTTTGAGTTAAAATAACAAGTGGTTTCTAAAAAGTTATATGAACTAAAAAGTTCATGTGTTTAATATATTTTTAATAAAAAAAATTGTAAACGCAATTAATTAATAAAAAAACTACAACATAAAAATTTTAATGTTTAAAAGCAAATTCAAAAAATAAAATGCTATATTGCAATGAAAAATCCAACGATAAGGTGTTCCACTAAAAATTTCAAAGGAATTTTAAATTGTAATGGAATTTTAGTGGATTTAATGATTCAGATTACCATTATTTATTGTTGTGGAATTTATTTGATTTTTTTTTCGGTACATATTTCTACAGTTAGAAAATTTTTCATCGGAAGTGTAAAAAATTCAATGAAAGTTGCTTTGGAAAGCTAATTGCAGTGGTAGATACACACAATTTCATAATATTGGGGGCTCTATTTAGCCAATAGAAAAATATACCATTAAAATAATATAATATCATTATAATATATAAATTATACTATAATTTGTCATCTTTCTCAGCTGTAATACATGTTTAACAAATCTATACAGTTACAATAAGTTAAAAGTATTTACAAAAAAAAAACATAATTTTTCTCAACTAAAAATAAACAAATCATTGAAAATAATATATCTTTTAAAATCTGGTGAACAAAAAATCTATGTTGTAGTATAGATGACTCGAAAATGTTATTGATTAATTTATAAATTATGACTAATTGATTATAATATTAATGAGAAAATTTTAGTTGTATATAATATAATATTAAGATATACAAATAGATGATATATTAACACATATGACCGAAATAATATATTCTTTAAAAATCTTATGAACAAAAAATCTATGTTGTAGTATAGTTGACTCCACAATAGTGTTGATGAATTTATAGATTACGAATAATTGATTATAATATTAAATAAAAAACTGTAATTGTATATAATATAATATTAAGATATACAAATAATTGATATATTAACACATATGACCGAAAAAGTTCTTTACATAATATTATGAATTTTTGAGCAAATACAAAAGTTAAAAACATATGAAAGAACAATATAAAAATATATATATATATATATTAAATTTGACAAATGATATTAAAAATTACTAAGTTGTAACACGTACTAATAAATATTAAAAAATAATAAATAAATATGTTATGATTAATAAAAGTAAATATAAACCTTTTAAAACTTCTATTTATCAATGTAAACGAGCAGGGTTGATAAATGCATGTTAATTTTTATACTTATTTATTCTATGTGTAAGTTTTAGGTGATATACAATAGTTATTTTTACCTTTATCCATGTAGGTTAGAAAAAAAAGTATACAATCAAAATAACATAGTGCCATTACAATTTTTAAATTGTACTTTACATAATTTGTCATGTTTCTCACTTGTAATACATTCTAACACATCAGTATAGTCGCAATAAGTTAAAAAATATTTAATAAAAAAAGGACGATTTTTCTCAATTCAACATAATAAAATCATTGAAATGTTTTTTTTTACAAAAATTATAAACATAAAATCTATGTTGTAGTATAGCTGACTCGGCATTACAATTGATGAATTTATAAATTATGAATATATAACTATAATTCCCCTTGCATTAGTTCAAAAGACATAAAAAATATATTTTGAAGATATAGAAAAAAATATGTTGCAAAAGAGAGATTTGAAACTATCATCAATATGGTTCATTTACATTTAATTGAATTCAAAAAGGCCTTTTAATATAGGAATAGAAAAGTCCATATCATATATCAAATAAAAATTTGAAAACTTGGCATGAACTAGCGAATCATTATGGTATTATATCGCAGTGATGCAATTATTCATGATAATAACAGGTGTAGATAATCTAAGTATATAAATGAATAAACTGGTCTCAACTACTGGGACGTAATTTTGAGATTTATTATATTTTCTTTAGTTGTAATGTCGTGTTTATGTTATAACATTAATAAAGTTATGGGTTGAATTAAATTATAATTGGTTGAGTTGTAAATTAATTCATTATGTATCTTTATTTCCTTATTTCAATATCATTTTTAAAATAGGGAACATGATTAAAATCATGAAAAAAATGTTCTCATAATTTTTATTAGATTCCTTATGCTATATGCTTTTGGATGGAGGGATGTGCCGGACCTTTAAAGAAACATAGATATGCTCATGATTTCAATAATTTTTTTTTTCTAGGATTATATTGAAAAGTTCAAACGGGAATAATAACATTGAAATATTCGTTAGAATTTTCGATGAATTCCCTTGTAGTATATTTAATTGAAATTTTCGTTGGAATTTTCTCATTTTCTTGTAGTAAAGGTAGGACTCCAAATCAATAAGAAAAATTTGCATTCTATATAATATCGTGTACAACTAATTATTATGAAAGTTGTTGATAATGATAGAAAATATAACACATTCAATCTAATTATCATTTAATTTATGGTAATTAATAAACTATTTCAAAACAAACAAGATACATCTAGGTCAAAAAGTCTTTAGTTATTTTATTAGTAATATAATAACTAAACAAGGGGTAAGAATGATGAGAAAACTTATAGCTCGCATTAAATCTGAAAGTATAAGAAAAAAAAGTGATAAAATTAATTAATGTCCTATATCAATTGGAGCTAGGTAATGAGAAACATCAAACATACTTAATATGCACATTTATTTTAACTTGAACTTTTAAGTTCATAAAAAATATTAGCATTAAAATTCACTGTGTTAGTTTTAAATTCTTTTAATTAAAAATTTAATTACTTTCTACCATTAATTTTTCAATTTTAAAATACTTATTATTTTATCATTTGTTACCCTTTTATATATAGTATATCACATCATTTCTTTCCAATGATGTGTATCGATTATCAACACGAATTAAAAATAATAAATAGACCTAAAAGTATCTTATAAAAATAATAAATAGACCTCAATGTGGTCTCATTGTTTTGTTTTGATTGATTTTGTCATTGGTGAAGAATCAAAAAATGATCTTTATCTTGAGTTTTATGAGCATTATGTATGATGCATAAAGTTGGACGATAAAAGCATTAAAAAAGTTATTGGACACATAAATGTTACAAATCCAAACAAATGTGAAAGATATTAAAATAAATAATTCTAAAATCATTGCAAGAACTAGGTGGTCAATGATTTATAAACAATATATTATATAATTCGTCTATCTTTCAAATAAATGACATTGAAAATGAAACGTTGGAGCCTGATCAAAACATTTTTGAATGTTTGAATGAAGTTGACACTTCTTATAGGAATATTTATAATTTCATTGGTGTATTGTGTTTGAACATATGTGCAATTATTTTAGAGTATGTACTTTTAGGTAATATGTGATGATCAAAAACTAATCTCGGGAAAATTACATGTAATAGAGATTTTGAAAAGTCAACTTTTATTTTGAGATGAAATTCATTCTCCCTGTAGGGCGATACATCCATGGATAGGTATCAATTTGTCTATATATAGAGAGAGAGTAATATAGTAGTTTATACAATGATAAAAAATAATCAACAATTTTAATGACACGATTAGTTATTTTGCAGAGATATTCATGCATTGTTAGTAGAAATATAAATATGATACAACCATGAAGTTTGACTATGTGTTGGACTAGAATTTTTTTTTAAGTATTTGAATAAAGTAGACGTTTTGCCAAATAAAATTAAGATGAATTTTGCAATACAATTGAATCAGCAATGCTTCTTATGAGGATTTGAAAACGAAAGAGATCGCTATTGAATCATCTAACGTAAACAAAGAAAAGAACTAATGCATGTATAATATATATTAGTCATTATTTAGTTATTTAGTGTTTTTGTTGGGGTTGTAATGTATTATTTAATTGTTTTTATATTAGGACATCGTTAAGTTATTTTGGAAAAAACAATTTGTTCTACATTTTGTTTCATTATTGCAATGATATATTTAATCAATTAATTTATTTATTTTACAAAACTTAATCGGCAAAAAACAATTACATTATGAGCTCATTTATTCTACGTTTATTTCATTCTTGCAATGATATTTTTAATAAATTAATTAATTTGTTTTACTAAACTTAATTGACAAAACATTTACCACCACGTGCATCGCACGTGCACTTTACTAGTAATAAAGAAAAGGCCTAGAATTTTCCTATAGAATAAATTAATATATATTAATTAACTAAAGTAAAATACTAAGTTTGATGTATGTCTAACCGTAAACAACTCTTTTAAACTCCATGTACATCAGATTATACGGATAAATTAACATGTTGTCCATCAAACCGTGAATTGTTGACCTAAAAAGAAAAATCAAAATTTCATCACAATTCTTTGATACATTAAGAAATAGTAAATTAAGTAATAATTATCTAATATTATAAGTAAAAGTCATGAGTTTTTTCATTTTAGAAATAGCATGTCGAAATCAAAATGTTCAAATGTTAACTTATTATATATCATAGAATACAATTAAAACATAAAAATAAAAATAATTTTAAATATTTTCTATCAAATATATTATATATACCCTATCCACCATACAGGCATACAAACTAGTCACACGACAAAGGCAAGGCATTGGAAGTCTTGGAGCATAATTGCTACACAAATAACGAGTTCTAGAGTCTCACAGCCAATTAAGATAACTTTCTTTCTATTTATATTTTTTGGGGAAAAGGAAGGCTTCAGTTCCAATATACGTAACAGTCACCTCACCTATTCAAGACCCCAAAAAAACCATAAGCGAATTGCTTATTCCACATTCTCTACATATATTTGTAATATTGTTGATATAATGCAGGAGAACCTGAGTATGCCACTAATTAAGATAGTGCAGCGGAAGCATACCGCAGAAGAACAAGTGCCATTCTTGCCAGGATCAAATAGGGACGAGTAATATGCATGATCATATATTGATCTTCCAATAGCATCATCACAACCAGAAGGAGCTCGAACAATAGGAGTAGCAGGGTTGATAAAACTATTTCTCAAATCTGCTTCTGCATCTCCAGCACCAGAATTATCAATGTACGAAGAACCCAGTCTGTACATCTGAATCCACAGTAGTGATGACGATAGCCTCACTGAAAATCCAATGATTTGCATGAACAAGGTCAGCTTGACCAAAAAGCTACCAAAGGCACCATAAAATTCAGATGGAATAGTCCTGCATCCGCGTATATATATTTTTTAGTTGGAAAAAAACAACCATGAATCGAGCATATTGTCCAAGTTTAACACTTATTTAACCAAGCGAATACAAGTGCAACAAGTGAATGTACCATTGTTTCCAGGGTACTCTATGAGCTTCCCAGAGGCAAAGCATCAAATTACAAGATGATGTAGGGAAGCGTACGAATGGGAAGGATAAACGAGATACTCTCTCGTAAAACACACAAAACTCACAATATATGATTCAATCTCAAAATTCACCACCCCCATAACAAAAGAAGAGAGAGCTTTAAATAAGACACCTAAACATAAAACCTATCTTGTCCACCAAGTCACTAATTAATCTACCAAATATTTAAATACCAAAAATAATAGATATTATTCTGCATCACAAGACAACTCAATGAAATCCAAGATACTGCAGTTGATGGGGTGCGGTGCACTTGTGATTGAGGGGTTAAAATGAGAAATTTTATTTAGAATTCAGATAGTTGCATCGATATCATAATCTTGGAAACAAAGGTGGTCCAAGTGGGATATTCAACCAAGAAAATTTACATCAGCAATAACTTGAGGACAAACTACAGTTGTTCATTGCCAGAAGAGACAAGTTCCAACACCTACCTGAGTTAATTATTCCCGGCGAAAAGATGTAACCAAGGATGCAGAAGCTTGCGAACCTAATCACAGGGTAGCAATTTTGCACAATTAAATTTTCATATGTTCATGGAAGAAGGCACCCTGGGCCCAAAGGCACTCCCCCACCCACTCACCCCAATCCTAACACCATGAGTACCCCAAGAATCCAAGTCCCCAATTTCATCATTTTAGTTTTTACCCTTTTTTTTATTTTAAGAAAGCTATATTTCCAATAAAAATGTAACTACAACAATGAATTGGTTACTTATTTAGGCTTCTTTTTTTGAAGTTGATGAACCTTTGGTTTTTTTATTTACCTGGACAGTGTCTGAAGTCCAAAATTGTGTGAAAGACGAATGGATGAATAAAGAAATAATTGAAAGAGAATAAGCTTTGCACTCGATTATAGCTCGAACTGAAGTTGTTACCGCTAAACTTATGACGGCAAACCATGCAGAAGAAACAGCTCAGGGACATTATATTGGCAAATTTTGCCAAAATGCCATCTAGTTATGCCTTAGACACCGAACCAAAACTTTCTCCTCATAAAATAAGAGGAAAACCGCCACTCAACTTTTATAATATAAAAATGAAATGACACTTGAAGGTACATCAATACAGATTTCCACAGTTAAAATGAGGAATCTAAAATTCGAAAATCTCTTACTAAAACCTAGGGTGTGATTAGTTGACCATTTGACCTTTATTATGTCCCTTTGTATTTCAAGAGAATATAGTGTTACAAAATAATTTCCATAAATGTAAAGGGAATTGAATATTTTAATAGAAAGTTGGATGAAAATATGATTGACTGTTAATGGAATTACTTTTAATTAACAAAATAGAGTGTGAGTATTATAGATTTAAAAGTAAACAATAGTGGATAGCGTATTTGTGATGTTCATGATGAAAGTGGACTTGATGGGTTGATGTGAAATATAACTGGATGTAATGGATAAGTGTACAGGTATGATGGATGAGTGTTGTGTCACTGTGTGCGAGTGTGTGTGTCTAATTAAGCATCTGCAGGTTTGTAAACCTAGAAAGAAAACAGAAATCAAGTGAAAATTTTGTAAATTTCAATCAAACTCCAGCTTTCTTTTGAAGTATGCTTATCGATATATAGCTCCACTTGAAAATTAAATAACAGAAAATGACTGAATAACTATTCGAGTTAACTTTACGCCATGGACTTTTGCTTATCAACTAATTCTAGTAGGTAAATAACTAAATATATGATAGAGGAAGATGCACATGGTTCATACAATTTCGCAGATTGTTGTTCCAAATTATTCGTCGTGTGTCAAACATATAGAAATAACAGACTATGACTATGAGATGCTCAAAGTTTGTGTTCATTTTAAACCTTAGATTTGTAATCACTACATACCAACTAAATCACATCACAATGCAATCCCCAGGAAGATGTAAACTTCAGCATCAGACATTATATCCAGAGAAGTCTGTCACAATCATCTATTTCATGGTGTCTACTAATATAAACAGATACAACCCCATTCGTCAACAAATACACGCAAATTAAAAGCAAAAACCAGAAATTGCTTAATTTCATCCGTATGAATTTCCCAACTATAATGTCCTCTTGTAAACAACATATCCGTAGTTCTAGATTTATTCTTTCACAATGCAGTGATTATTAGTGCAGGGCAGGCATTAATCAGAGCAGCAAAACTCACAATACTAATCCAGAGTGCCTAATAGCGAATTAATATAACTGAATTGCAGAGAAGGATATAAAAAATTAGTACCAAATATGATTGGAGAAAATGAAGAACCAGGAAAGGTCGAGGCAAATGGAACAGAAGAGAAGAAAGGCGTATGTCCTGGCGAGGCTCTGATTGCTGCTCTCGATGGCGACGAGCGCAAACAGCGAAATCCCCAAATCGACGAGCAAAACACCGTTGTAAATTGGGCCGAGCGATCCAATCAACGCGCAGCCTATTTGAGAGTAAATCAACCTAAGCGCGAGCCACTGGAGGTTGTCATAGTCTAGAATCCATGTCTGTAAAGCTCTCAACCTCAATCTAAAGCTGCTGCTGCCGTAAGGCATCCTACGCCAAGATCGCCGGCGCCGGCGCCGCTAATCTTCTCCGATTCCGATGGTGTTGTGCTGAGAAAATTCATTCAAAATGACGCAAGATGATGAAGAACAAATTAGTGCAAAGTGTGAGTCGAGGTAGTTACTTTTATGTCCAGAATCATTTCGATACTTTTACGTCCAGACTCATTTCCATTTTAAATTAGCTGGTTCCCTTTCATCTCCATCAATCCAATGGATCTGGATGAGTTAAATGGAGGTACCATTATCCTTGATTTTATGAAATCCATGACCAAGAAACACCAACACAAAATTATAAATACGTATAATTTAAATATTCTTATTATAAATAAATGATAGTCTAAATATGTAATAACATTAAAAAAAATAAATAATTTAGAATTTTTTTATTAAATAAAATTAGTGAAACTATTATTTGCAAATAAAATTTCTGTTTTGAACAATTTAAGAATATGTAAATTAATACTTATAATAAAAAGTATTAAATATCTTAGTAAAATTAACTTAGTAATAAATTAATTCATATAAGTTAAATTATAAAAATTTTTATCAAAATTAAATTTAAAAGTTCAAAAAATGAAAATTGAATGTCAACANGTACATATTTAGATTAAAAATAAAATAAATATAAATAATATTTAGATAATATATTTTCAAAATAATATTATTGTAAACAATAATTTATTCATAAAAATGTTAAAAAAAATAATTTTACATATGGACAATTTATTCATAAAAATTGCAATTCGTTCCGTAGAGAATTCAAAATTTAAATTCTCATCATCTTCATTTTAAGGATTTGATCTTCTAGCCTCTGTAAACTCTGTAGGATCACAATAGTTTAAGTAAGTGTGTCTCTCATCTTCCACTATCATATTGTGCATGATGATGCAAGCAAGCATTATTTTTCCCATCATGTCACGATCCGACAGAAGACATGGTTGTCTGATGAAATGGAAGCGAGCCTGCAGAACCCCAAATGCTCGCTCGACATCTTTTCGAGCTGCTTCTTGATGTTGAGCAAATAGCTGGTGCTTCTTAATTTGTGGATGATTGATTGATTTCACAAATGTTGCCCATTGAGGATATATCCCATTAGTGAGATAATATCTCATATTCTTCTCGTGGCCATTGACAATATAACTAACCTTTGGTGCTCGACCTTCCAAGACATCCTTGAAAACAGGAGACTGTTCAAGCACGTTGATATCATTTCTGGACCCCGGAGTTCCAAAAACTGCATGGCAGATCCATAAATCTTGTGATGCAACGGCTTCCAAAATGATTGTTGCCTTACCGTTTCTTCCTGTATATTGTCCTGCCTATGCAGCAGGACAATTTTTCCACTCCCAGTGCATGCAATCAATACTTCCTAACATACCTGGGAAACCTCTTTGTTCACCAATATGCAACAAATATGCTAAGTCTCCTTCATTCGGCTTTCTGAGGTACTCATCACCAAAGTTTGAAATCACACCCTGCACAAATTTTTTAACAGATTTTCTAATAGTTTGTGCACTCATTCGAAGGTATTCATCATGCAAATCAACTCCTGTACTGTATGCCAAAACTCTCATAGCTGCAGTACATTTTTGAATTGAGGACATACCTAATCTCCCAGTTGCATCACTTTTTTGTTGAAAAAATTCTTCTGTTTCAACGAGTTTACTCATTATTCGTTCGAATAATGGCTTCCACATACGAAATCTTGTTCGAAAAACTTCTGGAGGATATATTGGATCATCTGAAAAGTATTGCTCAAACACCCCTTCATGGCCCTTCTCACGTTGTCGCTCAATGTAGCATCGTCAGGGCTCATTAGCGGTGTTTGTAGGCTGAAAAGATATAGTAGGAATGCGAAAAGCAATTTCCTCCATTTGTGAGTCAATTTGAAGATTTTGAAGTATAAGGCCTTCATGCCATTCATCAAAGTTTTCATCTGATGACATCTTTTGCAAAGTTTTGGTGGAAATGATAATTTGGATAAGAAGAAAGTTTTGATTGTAGTGATTTGATGATACAAAATTCTGGTGTGTTGTATTTATAAATGCTAGGGGTCAATTTGACATGGATTGTGCTTTTTGAAAGAATGGACCAGATTAATTGCTTTAATGATGAACGGTGAAAATCAAATTGACGAAGATTGTGCTTTTAACAAACGGCTCAGATTGATTTCTTTTGTGAGAAGTGATGGGGATTTATGTAATATGATTTAACATATTTATTTTAATTTAAAAATAATAAACAAATACAACATAATTAGTATATATATTCATACATACTTAAAAATTACGAATTTTGATATATTTATATTTTATTATATAAAAAACATACGAAATTTAAAAACTATATATTTATGTCAATTTAAAATAAAAAATAAGTATAGCAAAATTGGTCTCTATTTGTAGAGAATTAAAAATTATGAATTTTGTATATTTATTTATTTTTTTTATTTTATTATATAAAAGATATATTAGTTTAAAAATTATTAAAAAAAAAAAAAGATGAACCAATGGGATGGAGACAAGTGTCTCCATCCCATTGGTTACTTTATCATAAAGTAGAACACACCACTTGGTTGCCTATCCTCCAAAACACACCACCTCCAGCACTGTGGTCTCTCCTCTTTTCTCATTTTTCTTTTTTCTTTTTCTTTTTGTTTAATTTGCACCTGGACACACCAGGGCTTCCCCTGGTTTCTGTTATTCCTAGTCTAAGTCTTGGTAGGTCGACCGACTGAGGAAAGAGCCAGGTCGACCTATTGGCACTCGAACCGTGGCAGATACCAGTAGTGTAGGTCGAGTAAAGGACCTAATGAGAACTCAAGGAGATATAATGAGGATAAGAAGGAATCTAATGATGATGAGAATGACGTTAGAATAAGGCTAAATCTCGAGCAACCATAACCGTTTTGGGCAGGATGACCAGGGCAACTAGGCAGATCGGGTGCTCAATCTTGGCCACCAAGACATCCCTCTATAAAAAAGGGTTGAGGTATCACTGTAAAATCACTACACACTCTACATACTCTCTACTTGCAGAACTTATTATCTTCTTCCTTGCTAACTTGGGTGTCGAAGTGCTAACACCGTGAGATCCTCCAGGACCCCTTTTGCAGGTCATCAATTGTTTAGAGACGATCGGAACTCTACAGTTGCCGATTCACCCCAGATCTAGGTCACAAGCACATCGACACTAATCAGGAAAAAAATACACTAATTTTTTTAAATTGTTTATTTTCTAATTTTATTATATATTTGTATTATCAGTTAATGTAATATTTAATTATACATTCTTAATTTAGTTTTTAATATTTTTTAATTTTAAAGTAATTTCTTTAAACTTTTGCACAAAAGTAGCTTAAATGAATTACCTTTCTTATTAAGGTAATTTTACTAATGATATTTATAAATTTTTAATATAATTATTCAAAATATAAATATCAAAATAATAGTATTTTTGTGTACATAATTTTGTAAAAATATAAAGTTAGTTGGGGTGTCAAATTGAGAACTATAATGTAAAAGTAAGTCTTCAATTGAGAATAACTTAAAATTGAAATCCTCAATTGAAAAAGGTAAAAATTCAGACCTTATTGTGACATAATACCAAAAATTCAAGCTCATATTTGGGTAAAGAGCATTCCAACCTTGAGACCTAAAGACTCTATCAAGCTTCTCCTCCACAAAGCCTTCACCATGTCTGTTGTTTCCCCAAGTGTACTTGTGGCCAATCAGCCCTAGATCAAGCATTCCAATTAGTGCTATAATGTTGTTAAAGGTTTTGAAAGAGGTAAGGGTCCGATTCTGCCTCCATAGGCTGTGAAAGAGGATAAGGGTCTGATTCTGCCTCTTTTCTTCTCCTCTGTGGTGGTGAAATTATCGCAATCACCTCCAATAAACCAATAATCTCCCAACTTGGCTCTTTGAGTACTATCAATGCTTGCATACAAGAAAATCTCCCAACAAGTTTTAGCTTTTGCCTCATCCCGAAATTCCACTTGGATGCAAAAGGAGGATTCAATGATTTTAAAATGTGGACAGAGTCATCCCAAACTAGCAACAATCCTCCTCCTTTTCCAGTAGGTTCAACAGAAGATCATCTATCCTCAACCCCAAGAATCCTACAAATAGTATGTACACAGTTATCTTTT